TTCCCGTTTCTCCCCAGCAAAGAAAGGGGGGGGGGGGGGGGGGGGGGGGAAGAAGGGAGGAAGTATCAACTAAACAAAAGGAAGTGTGATCCTTTAAAAAAGGAAAAAAAGGACTGCTTACTAAAATGGAGTGGAAACATCCAAGAATAATGCATTATTGCCTGTTAGAAGGTGTGTTTTCCACTTCCTGCGCTTTGTACTACTGTAACAAGTTTGGTTTTTTTTTTTAGCAAAAGGAAACAAGGTAGGTAAGAAGAATCGAAGAGATTTTTGGAGTAGACTACCTTAATGCAACTTTAGTAGCAACTATTGTAAAACATGTATTGTATAAATATACACCTAGATACACTTTACCTTGAGAAAAAATTAAAGCATTAAAAGAAAAGGTTACATAGCATAAAATTTGAGACAAAAAAAGCGCCCAACTACACAAGATGTGGGCAAGAACCCAGATCAACCTTCAAATACCAAGCTATGATTGCTGAACAAAACCCCTCAAAATGCATTATTTATGCAACTGGATAAAAATATTAGCATAGATCTTAATACCAATATTCAAGGCTAAAAAGGGACTTTAATCATCTATATCTACTCCTTTCAAGCAAGGAGTGGATGCAACACAAGGTCAGTTCACAAGTAATCATTTTTGGCCATCTCTCCTTGAGTACCATGACTCTGGCAGTTATAGTTATGCCCGATTGATTTTGCTTAACATACACTGATTGAACTCACTTTCTTCTCTCTAAAAGTTTACCTTTATGATGGATGGAGCGATTTATAAAAGCCTTCCCCATCGTGTTAAACACAGCAACAACTTTGCATGTGGAGGGCAAGATACTCTCACTTGATTTGATACCTTGTAATACTGAGCTCAGATTAAGTTGATTAGCTATTAATAGAAAATGTTATTGTTCTAAAGTATGGCTAGATTCATCTTATGTTCCTCCTCCCCCCCACTCCCTCCCCAAACCAAAAGCCAGGGCCATAGACCAAATAGGAGACATACCTAGGAAAAGAAAGCTGTAGATGGAGATGAAGCCACACACATACCACCCCCTTGGAAGCTATTTCCTCACAGCACTTCCATAGGAGACATTAAGCTAGCACAAAAATAGATAGACAAGTTCTGAACAGATACTTCCAGAGCTACAAGCAAGCATGAGGATCCTAGGGCTTTAAGCCAAGTCCTGTAACTGTGACAGAAGCACACCAAGGATGAATGGACTGAGACTGCTGGAGTGCAATAGTTTTTCCTTCCCCTCTCCCCCAACATACCACTTACAACACAGGAGAGACTGAAGCAGGAAGATGGAGGAAAACAAGTACAGTAAAAATACATCTTGCTATGAAAAAGCACCTACACAAATAGGACAAATCAAAGGAAGCCCAACTTACAGGAGTAGCAGCAGGGAAAGTACCAAATCAAATAAGAAGGCTGATGTATTTTTGGCACAAGAGATTTTCCAGTTGCAAGCTGTTCCAAAATAAAAAGAGTTTACTGTCCAAAGCTACTGAGTTTCTCCTACTAATCACAGGCAATTCTTGCCTGATGTAATGAGAGCATGCCAGAGGGGAAAAAAAAGGCCAAGGCCCAAAGCCATGCTGGCTTCTAGAGACTTTAGACTAGTAAAAACTGCTTGGCTGTGGTCTACTAATCTGATAAAAGGACTGGGAGGAGGAAGTCCTCTTTAAGAAGAGATGCACAAAGTGTTTAGCAAAAGTAATCACAGGTGGAAAGAAGCTACAATGCCTGTAGCCAGTCTATTCAGAAGAACCATCTTAGAAGTAGGATTGTGTTTGTTTATACAAAACAAAAATGAAAGCCAAAACATTTAAGTCTATGTTTCTTAACGTGTGCAGTGTAATCTAGTTAACTCTGAGCCTACACATGAACCTAACCCAGCTACAGGCAAGTATAATTCAATATAACCAAACCTCCAGTAAGGTGGAAAAAAGAATGTTGTTCCCTCTCCCACCACAGAAAATCTCTCATACAACACTTCTGATAAAACTGACAGAAGATTTGGAATAAAGGATATAATGTATTAATACAAACATATACATGTTCAGTTACATGGTAGTATTGCTGGCTTTTGTTTTCTTTAAAAAAAAAAAAAAGAAGAAGTTGACACATCACCTACCTTCAATTTTGGATCCATAGTGGTATGTTCCACTATAGAAGTGTGGCAAGGAAAATACAAGTGAGCCTAATCCCAGCATAAATGAAGAAAAGGCAAGCCATCTCGGTTTGTGCCCTCTTTCTCCAAAGAAAGATACAAATAGCGACAGTATACAAAATGCGATGTCATAGCTTGAAGAGATTAATCCAGTGAGGGAACTGTTCAGTTCATAACGTTTTTCAATAGTAGAGATGCTAACATTTACCAGGCCATTTACCACAATACCTGGAGAAGGAGAAAGAAAGATAGTTATGACAAGACAAAAGGAAAAAGAGGAGATTACCCTATCCCTACCTGCCTTATACTGTTCCAGTAGCTCTTACATTGTTACAGACATTGTGCCCGAGCATAATTTAAAACATCAGTTTGGACACGTAATGTTCTTCAAATTTACAATCTGTTCTTCCCAACAGTCTTAGAAAAAAAATCTTACTGTAAAGAAAACAAAGGGTTTTTTTGGTTTTTGTTTTTTTTTTAATACACTAAACAAAGAAGCACACCATAAACAATATCCCCCTTAGCTTTGCTTGCTAAATGGTTGCTCAAGTACCTGAACTCCCTCCAGATGGGCAGAATATAGTTAGAGTAGGGTTGTGGACAATGATTTTCAAATCTACCTTACTCTATTCATCTTACTGCTGGCATCAGCACAAAGAGTCAAGATCTGCCTACACAAGCAAAGCCCAGATTTTCACAGAAGACAGAACAATATTTGGAAACAGAAGTGAAGACAGTCTTTATTATCATTCCCTCCTGCAGTTGTATACTGCAGGATCTCTACTCATTGCAGTTCGACTTGGACATGTATTCTGGATTTGCCAATACATAAATGCATACATGCAGCAGTAACTCAGATTTCAAATTTAGTCACCTAAGCACATGCTGCCTTACAAGTTCAGAGTGATATATTCCAGAAATGTGGGAATACCAACACCGTAAGAGGCCAGAAAAGGCAAAGTCAAATGAAAGCAGGCAGTTTTCTAGCCAGCTCTGTCACATACAGAAAGCTATTAACTACTAATAATAGTAGCTGCTTTCAGGAATGACTACTACACTGCAAAGTGTTTATAAAAAGCTCATTAAGTCTTAAGCATTGCTGACAAGCCTTAAGTTAGACCACACTAGTACGTATGCACACTACTCCATTTCAATCTGCTGAATTATTTCTCAGCTTTCAATATTTTATGCTCCAATAAAAGTTGAGCGCTCCTTCCTTCCCACGTAAGAAAAAGTTGTTAGGGAACTGTTTGACACATTATTTGGAGGCTCAATAAAAGATGCAATACTATGCTGGATAATACTGGTGATATTTTAGCATTCTGGGAACTGGCATAGGCAAAGAACATTTCACCTTCTCAGATACTGGCTTCTGAAGTGTGGACGGCAGATAGACTTGTAGCTACATTAGAAGTGATTTTGCACCATATCACTATGTGAACAATGGCATTTCAGTTGTTTGGACTACTGTAACTCTGCATCTACCATTTTCCAAACAATTGTGGGAAGTTTGTTTTAGATACGATCTAAAGAGTCGAGATATGCAAGAGCTACAATATTCTTTTAAAGTGTGACCTATTGTCCCCCACTGCCCTTCCATAAAACAATTTATAACCTGGATATCAAGTCTAAGCCACTTTGATATCAAATTAGGCTTCTTATCCCTCCCTAACCCAGGAGATGGGTTAACTATACATAATATGCATTAGTTTAAGACACTTTGTATCATATTGCCAGTGTATAAACTTACTTTGAATTAAGCACTAGATGCACATCTCATTGAGAGTCTATATGTGCATATGCAGTGCTTTTCCTGACAATCACTATTAACTTTCAATTATATTTTAAATGAATGAATATTTCCCTATTACACATGGTCAACTGATGCATCATCACTATTTAGTAACAGGAGGCAATTAAAGCTAGTTAAGCAAGAGAAACTTTTTTTCAGAACTCCCACTGACACTAGCAACACTAAGACTGTAAATAGCAGTCTTATTTACAGAGGTCCAAATCCAATACAAAAAGGACAGACAAGTTCACATAATACTTCTTTAGAGCACCTGGTTTCACAACAGAATCCAGTGTCTAGAGTAAAGATTTTAGATCAAAAGGAAAACATAGAATAGGTCATGCATCAATTGGAATCACTGAGAACTAGCCCCATCTCCCACAGTATGGATCCCAACCACACAGACCCCAAGCAGGTAGTATGCTAGGTAATGCAGAGGTGGGTAGGTATAAGTGTCCATCCAATTTCACTGGAACAGGCACACAAAGCAGTGTCCACTTAGGGCTTTAATCAACAGCTGAACTGGTAGTGTTCCTCCATTCCTTGCTTGGAAAAAGCTGTTTAAGAAGAGCTTGAACCAATGAGAGGCTTTTGTTTTGTTGATGGGCTGATAAGTGCTGTGTTATCAGCTCCCTGCTGACTCTCTCACCTGTCAGGTTTGCAGACAGTATGAAGAATCCAGGAGGAGAAGATTGAAAAGTGCTGTATCACTCCACACACCTGTTTTGCCTCTAGGGTCTGGCAATACTCATGCCTTAAGCAGTAAGCAGGGAAGAGCCTGGGAATGTGCAGGCAGGGTAGGGGTTTAAACCCCTCCCTAATCAAAGGTCCTGCCAGGGCCTGGCCATGCTCTACTCAGCACTATAGAAGAAAAAGGAGGGCTGCTCTAGTGCCCCCCACTCAGTTTCTAGCCCAAGCCACTGCAGGCATATGCCTGTATTTCTTCAGTTCAGAGGGAAATTCTGTGCAGTTGCAAACTGATTCAAGCTAGGCAGGTTAGACTAACCTGCAAAGATAAAATCAATTCAGGCTCAGGCTTTTTGAATGTCTGTCCCTAGCCTGGATGATCAAAATAGGGTTTCATGTAGTACTTGGGATCCAGAACCTGGAATCCTCCCAAGGATGAAAACTAGCAAGAACTTACCTTTTCTTTTTAAAATTCAGCTGCCAAAGGAACAATATTCCTCTTATGCATCCAAAGCCAAATATGGGTTCTTTTGAAGGAGACAGTGGTTCCACGTCTTCCTCCACCTCAGACCCACACCCTCAAACTTCCAAAATGGTGCCCTAACCCCAATTTGAAGGTGGTTCTGAGCATGGGTGCCTTTCACACCTACAAAGGCTAGGCTATAATACAAAGAGCAACGCAAAGATGCATTTGATATAGCAGGAATGCATGGCTGTGTAGTTCAGTGGCTTA